GTATTGCAGAGAAGATGTCCTTGTTATTGGCTTCAAGGAGCACCATCTTCTGATATCGGTCTCTGTCAGTAGATAGGAGGGCTTGAGCCTGTTCTTGATGAGCTCTGCACATGTGCTCAATAGAGGTCAGTTGCCTCTCTGTTCTGGCATCAGATTTCTGCAGAGCCTCAAGATGCTCTGAGATAGTGTGGATTGCCTGTCCTTGACTCAGGAGAGTCTGTTGAAAGATAGAGAGGGTTTTGTGGATGCCTACCACTTCTGTTGACAGGATATCTGTTCTGGCAGAGGAGGAGGCGATGAAGTTGTTGAGTGTCCCAGTGAGGTTCTCAAAACGGTCAGAGATGAACTGCATACCTGAATTTAGATTGTCATTCACATGGGCAAGATGCCCATAGTGTTTATCATTTATCTCTATCAGCTTGTTCATGCCTTGGAGGATCTGTCCACCAAAGTCTTCTGCAGATTCAACAAATTTGTTGAAGGGAATGTTATTCTGTTGTCCATCTGCTTGAGGCATCTCTAGACCTCTTCCCCTAGGTAGTGGGTGATGTTCTTGGACAGATGAGAGAGATTCTACAAGCAGTTCATGTTCCAGTTGAGTCAGAGGAGGGGTCTTCTGTCTCTTTGATGTGGCCTTGTAGGATTTGCTGATCATGAATCCATCCATGTCAGAGGAAATCTCATAAGGAGAGTAGATAGGTTTTCTGTTGCGAACTACCTTCTTTTTCTTTCTCAGAGAGGGATTGGGGGCAACAGAGTCCCTAGAATACCCTTTGGGTGCAGAGATGGGAGAGACAGTTGTAGGATCATAATCCCTGAGAAACCATACAGGTTTAAGCTTCTCTGCAGGTTGTTGTGGAGGAGGTGAGTCTGGAGGAGGGGATTGATGATCAGATTCAGAGGATGAAGAGGATATCTGTTGGGGTGAGGGGTTCTGGTGCTGGGGTGAGGATTGAATAGGTGAGACATTCTGTTGAGGGGGAGATGGTGGAGGTGAAGGTGAGCGGTTTCTGTAGGGAACAATTGCTCTACAGGGAGATGCAATTTTTTGTTTGGGTGATTGAGGAGGGGTGGGGGTTTTCTGTTTAGGAGATTTAGGTTGAGGGTGTTCTGGTGGAGGGGTTTCTGTGCTGGTGGTAGGTGAGGGAATATGTGGTTCTGTTGGGATAATAACAGAAGGGGTTGGAGAATTTACCTCAATGATGTTATCCACGAGCAAGGAAGTCCTCCACTCCTTGATATGCTCCATCATAGCTTGTCCTTCTGACTTGAGTACAGAGGACTCTCCTGGGTTGAAGTTGGGCTGTACAGAGTCAGTTGCCATCTTGGTGAACAGCCATTCTTCAAAGGCTGCAATTTCTCCATCTTCTAGAGGTTTGACAGCTTCCTCCGAGGGTGAAGAAATGAGAATAGCCTTTCCCTTGTAGCTTACCTTCTTCTTCTCAAGGATAGAGTGAAGAAAGTTGAGGGCAAAGCACTTTGAGACATCATCAGTTCCAACCCAATTCAGGATGGCTTCTTCTTCTGCCTCATAGTGATAAAAAAACTGAATTATTTTGTGGAGGGGTCCCATTCTCCATCTTCTCCATTCAAGGACCCGGGTAAACTGTCCGTCAAGCAAGGACAGATACCCATCTTTGACAGGACTAGGGTGCTCTGGTGGAGTGTGCACCCTGTTCTGTTCAGGGGATGCAGCAGAGGTGGGGATCTCTGGTTCCCCCTGAGTGTCTGCCACTCCCTCAGACACAGAAACCACAGGTTTAGCAACCTTCTTCTTGGGTTTTGTGGTCCTCTTCCTCTTCTGTCCGGCCTTAGGGGGGGCAACAGGTGCTTCCCCTTCAGTCTTCTTCTTCTTCTTCTCAGCAGAAGGGGCTACAGAGAGAGGCCAACGACGCCAATATGGCCCTCGACCTCCACCTGATTTCAGAACGCCGAGAGCAAGCCTTCATACGCGCGGAAAACTACCGAAGGCAAGTAAAAAGTTACATTGACGCCAAGGTTCGCTCCCGGGAATTCCAAGTGGGGGACTATGTTCTCCGAAGAAGGGAAGCTAGCCAACCAACCGAGGGCGGAAAGATGGCACCAAAGTTCGAGGGCCCCTACATCGTGAGTTCGTGACAGCCATCATTAAACCGGGAACTTACAAGCTGAAACGCCCTAACGGGACTGAAGTCCCTAGGCACTGGAATGTACATCACTTAGTTAAATTTTAACAATAACATCAGAGCGGCCAAGCCCTCATAACTAGTGAATGTATTATTTTACGGCCCAAGGCCTAAGAATTCTGAAGAATGAAGACATTTTGAAGACACCGAGAACACGGAACAAGATTATCACAGGGGCCAAGCCCTCATATCACCCCCAGGCCCACCACAATAGAAGAACCCTCGGCACCAAGTGCCGAGGGTAGATAATACTATCACCTACGACAAGTACCACCTGTCCACAAAAGAAGACCCCTCAGCACCTGGTGCCGGGGGGACACACCACTATCAACTTTCAACAGATGGGAAGAAACACCAAGTGTTCCCGCAGAAGACCCCTCGGTACCAAGTACCGAAGGTAGACAACACAATCACCTTCAACAAATGGGAAGAAACACCAAGTGTTCCCACAGAAGACCCCTCGGTACCAAGTACCGAGGGTAGACAACACAATCACCTTCAACAAATGGGAAGAAACACCAAGTGTTCCCACAGAAGACCCCTCGGTACCAAGTACCGAGGGTAGACAACACAATCACCTTCAACAAATGGGAAGAAACACCAAGTGTTTCCACAGAAGACCCCTCGGTACCAAGTACCGAGGGTAGACACCACAATACCCTACAACAAGTGAAGGAAGAACACCAAGAGTTTTTACAGAAGACCCCTCGGTACCAAGTGCCGGGGGCCGCAAACCGGAACAAACACCAAGTGTTGTTTCTAAGCCGTACCCCTCGAGGACGCCTATACCGAAGGCGCCACCTCTCGGTGCCGGCAGCACGTAGTGCACCCGGCCATTTGCAACCAGTATGCAAATGAAAACTCTTCCCTGAAACGCTTTCCGCGTCATCACCCCAAGGGTATGACAGGCATGAGAAATGCCCAGGATTCGACTTTCAAAAACGGAACGCTTTCCGCGTCATCACCCTAAGGATATGACAGGCACGAGAAATGCCCAGGATTCGACTTCCAAACCGAAACGCTCCCCGCGCCAGCACCCCAAGGGTGTGGCAGGCCACGGACTATGTCTAGCGCCGAGGGGACGACTTTCAAAACTGAGGCGCTTTCCGCGCCATCCCCCAAGGGGAGGCAGGCTACAGACCACCATATCTTGTGCCCAGGAAACGACCCTCGATCCCCTCGGAACTCGGAAGGTTAACCCGAGGGGGGAGCTAATGGTGTATTCTGTTACCTCCCGATAGGCCAAGCCTTACCAAGAAACCAAGTTTCTTGAAGCCTTCCCTTCACTACTAAAAACAAAACAAAAAAATGGGGTGGTGAAGGGGAGTAGACTCAGCGAGAAATCAATGAGTACATCACTCCAACAATTCACAGAAACATACCGAGGGCTCCCCACGGGAACACCTTCGGTACCTGAAAGCTCACAGGAACGAAGGATACCATTCACAACAGACATCATCAACAAATGGCAAGTCCCCTCAAGGATTGCCTCCGGCTATACCTAAAACCGAAGGCTCAAATACTACAAAACATGACAGGCTCAGCCAACAGCAACTCAAAGCGTCCCCGAAGGGTACTATATGACAAAGCTATCAGATGTGGCCAAACCAAATCAAGAATCACCTCCGGCACCTCACTACATGCCGAGAGGATATAACAAACAACCGAAAGCTTTTATTGCCACAAGCCAACATCACAAGGCAAAGGAAACTATCCTAAACCTACAACGCCTACAACCGAAGGGTCCCCCCGAAGGCCAGCAGCAGGAAATACTTAGAAAAAAATCTAAGTCCTAAGTGCTTTGCCCCTTGTGGAGCCACCAGTCAACCGAGGGCATACCTCAAACAAGGTCCTCACATTCACCCGAGGGATCCTACTCCATATGTACTACACTTAGAAAAATTTTCTAAGTCCTACATATTTTGACCCTCGGTCAAATCTCCATGCTGCCCGAGGGGCCATACGGTTGAAGGCTTGGTGAAGCTATACTTAGAAACATTTTCTAAGTCCTACATATTTTGACCCTCGGTCAACTCTCCATGCTGCCCGAGGGCTCCTACCTGCTACACTTAGAAAAATTTCTAAGTCCCAAAAGTTCTTACCCTCGGTCAAATCTCCCTGCAGCCCAAAGGGTAATACGATTGAAGGCTTGGTGAAACTACACTTAGAAATATTTTCTCAGTCCTAACTATTTCTGGGCCCTCGGTCATACAACCAATGAAGGGTACCCAAATACCGAAGGCTAGGCTGCATTCAAACACGTAGAAAAATTCTTCCAAGTCCTAAACAGCTCACCTCCGGTTATCTCATGAAAGCTACACAGAACCAGGGGGAAAGAATTAGTCGGGGGCCAACAGATGAACAAACACTTAGAAATATTTCTAAGTCCTGAACATTGCGCCCTCGGTGAAAGGTTCAACTGACTAAAGATTACTAGTAGCCGAGGGCTACGAGAAGCACTACACTTGGGAGAATATATTCTAAGTCCTAAACAAGCATTCAAAAAAGCAAAGGCATACATTCAGGAAAGGCGAAAGCATACATTCAAAGAGAAACAATGAAAGGGAAACGTATTATATACCAAAAGCCCGAAGGCAAACATTCATTCATCTGAGAGAAAGGAAATTCAAAAGTACATTACAGAGTGGCCGAAGCCGAGAGCATACAAGTGATAGCTACGACAAGATTGTTCAAAAAAATTTCCTAAGTATTACACGATAACTACATCATCATCAGCAGCAGCATCGCCTCCGTTGGCAGGCTTCGACGTAGCGTCCCCCTCGGCATCTTCTTCTTCATCGCTGCATTCAGCCATCAGGACAGTGTCCTCAAGATCTGGCCTGCTGGTGCCCTCGGGATGGGGAACCCTGGTGTCCGGTTGAAGAGGGGGGAGCCCATAAGCCGCGGGGTCAAACGCCGACGGGTCTGCCCCTAGGTGCCTGGCCAGCCTCCGGTAGATAAGGGCTTGAGTGAAGTACTCGCCCACATCATAGTATTCCTTCCGCTTCTGGTCCAGCCACATTGCCCCGGGGCCTTTCACCCATTCCTCCACGGAGGACTCGACAACCGTGGCCACCCACGCTCTCTGGGCCTCAGCTTTCCACCCCTCGGCGATGAAGGCTGCCACCGCTTCCCCCGCTGCGCCTTCTCCGCTTCGGCCCTCCCCTCGGCTTTCGCCGCTTTCCACCGCTTTCCACCTCCTTCTTGGCAGTCTCAGCATCTTCGGCAGCCTTCTTGGCGGCCTCCGCAGCTGCCTTCTCCGCTCCGGCCCTCCCCCCGGCTTTCGCCAGCACCTTGGCATTCTAGAGGAGTTTCTCGAAGGCCGCCCTCTCCACCCTGGAAGCCTCCTCTGCCTCCCGGAGCCGCCTTTGGGCCGCAGCCAAGGACTCGTCATCCTTCTGCTTTTGAAGGGCATAACGCTCCATCCGCTGAATGAGTTCACCAAGGCCGAGGCTTGCCTACAAAAGAGATCACGAATCACCGAAGTTTAGAACCACAATGCAAAAAGGGGAGGAAGGGAACAAAAGAAAGAGGAAGAAGGAAAGGGGAACTTACAGTAACCGAAGCCTGAAGGACCTTGGAGCAGAGGGCGTCTTCAGTTTGCCGAGAGAGCACGGATTTATCCGTCGGGGGGTGGCCCCCCTCAGGAACTCCCTCGGGTTCAGCGTAGCGTGCATAATGGCAGTCCCCTTAGTGATGGAGAACTGCACATTGTCTTGAGGCCATACCAGCCCGGGGGCTTGGGCCGGAGGCTCGTTGGAGGAATGTTCCTCCACAATGACAACCGGGGCCCCTTTCGGGTCGGGCCCCCTTCTTCTACTTTTTCCCTCCGGGGGCACCACGGCCTTCTCGGCTCTTTTCCTCTTCAGGGCCTCAGGAGGGGAGCCCTCGGCGTTGGAACCAGCGTCATCGCCGACGGCAATTTTGGCCTTAGGCACGTTTTTCTGGGCCCCTTCATTTGCACCCGCCCTCGGGTAGATCTCGTCCAACCCCCTCTGTTGCACCGAGGGGTCTTTCATCTTGGTCTTCTTCGCCAGCTGCTTCTTCAACTTAGAGAGGTTCCGGGCGTCCATGTCTGGTCCTGAAAAACAAAGGACATGCAGGGGAGTTAGGAAAATAATATCAAAAAGGAAAACAAAAAAAAGAAGGGAAAAATATATTCTAAGTATAGAACGGGAGCCCTCGGCAAGTCAACTACCTCCGGCACTTTGATAAACCCTATCGACGGGGGGATATGTCTCATCGCTTTCCCCCATCAGCCGATAACGCCGAAAGCCTAAATCATAAAGATCGTCTGGGAGAGTAGCATCTCTGATCTTGGTATGCTTGTCGGACCCCTCGGGCTTCTTGGAGAGCTTCTTTCCTTTTTTCTCCAAGGCAGCGCTTCCTACCTTGACATGCCTGCGGAAGCTGTCGCGAAGGGGGGCCGGGAAGGGATTCTCGGCCATCCGAATGTAGCAGAACCTATCTTTCCATCCCTTGTGGGACGAAGGGACATCATCGAAGAGTCTGAACTCTGGGAGCTGCTGTAGGTTGGCAAAGCCACCGGCGTTCGAGTGCCCCCCCCCCCCCCCCCCCCGGCACAGATTGAAGGAGAGGAAAAAATGGTCCAGCGAGGGCTCCACATCCCGGCTCCGGCAGAGGGAGAGGAAGCCAGCCAGGTAGGAGTGGCGTTTCGGGGTTAGTTGGCAGGGGGCTAGTTTGACGTACCGGAGGTACTCCACCACGAAGGGATGGAGGGGGAACCGGAGGCCCAACTCCACCGAGAGCAGATGCACGACGAAACAACCGGCGGGGGCGTATAACAGAACGTCATCTGGCCCCGGCTCCACTACCAATGCCGACGGCCCTACCAGGAGTTGCGTCGCCATGTATTCTCCCCGTGTGGCTCGGGTCTTCACATCCAAAGCGACAGTGTTCAGGTAGGAATAGCCTTCGGGAATTCCTACTGGTTGACCGGCGTCAACGACAACCTGTTTCTTCTTCCCGACAGCCTTCACCTTTCTCTTCTTCCCGGGGCAACGCTGATAGGCGTCGGGTTCAGAGGCTGAGAGCTTCCGGCCTCTGCATTCTGAGGGGGAGGGACGGCGACGGTAACCACCATGCTTTCTTTTTGTGCCACATCCTCGGCCACTTGAAAGGCAAGCGCCAGCTCCTCATCCTCGCACACTTGCTCGAACTCCTCCGCTTCCAGTTCTAGTCGAAGGCTCGCTTGCACCTCTTCAGCTACCACGGAGTCCTGGTTGACCGAAGTGCGTACGCTCGAGGACTCCACGTCCGAGATGATCTCCTCCTCCATCGAGGGTGGCCTTGAGATATCTTGAGAGTCGCTTTGTGAAGACATCCTCAACAGCTGAAGGGATGAGGGGTTTCTAGGACAGGAGTTTTCCTAAGGCTTTTAAGAACTTAACCTAAGGCCACACGACTACGACCTACTAATGCTACATCAGATGGGCAGAGAACTGACCTCGGGAGAGTGATTGATCGAAGGCAGCTGTTTCTCTCTCTAGGAATTTTGGCAGAGCTTCGCTAACGGATAAATCGCACATGGGAAGTGAAGCCGGCCATGGGGTATTTATAGGCGCTGGGATCCGGGCTTGGGCCTGGAAACCGGGCCTCCGGTTGGACTGCCATCATTACAAACCGTGGTTTCGCCCAATCGGTGACGCCCGCCCACGGGCAGCCAATGAGCACACACCACGTGGCGACTCCCCCCAACGGCTATATCCTGATGTTAGATATTCCAACGGCTATATCTCCAATGGCTATATTCTGGGAGCTCCCGGCTACACTTGACAGACCACTCCTTCATCAACCTAGAAATTAGCCCCCGGGCTTTTTACTTCACTCCACTTCATCAAGAAGAGCCTCCGGGTATACTTACCCAGAGACGCTCCCGGTTTGTGCCCCACACACTACCTGACAAATGCCTTCGGGCTCCCTCCTTCAGAAGCCCACGGCTTCAATATCAGGCCACCCCTCAGGGATCCCCCCTCAGCACTTTGAGGGCCGGGTAGCCCCCGGGGAGTACGCCTCATTGACGGACAGCCTACGGCACACAGGTAACGGGACCCCCCGGGTACCCTCCTCACCAACTGAACAACAAACAGGGGACACCCCGGTAACACTGCAACTGCTACTCACATTCATGACGCCCTCGATCCCCGGATTGAGGGACTCCCCTTCGGCACCTCCCAGGAAATCAACAGCACGCCTCCGGCTAATCAACACATGAGCCCTCAGAACAAGGAAAGCCTTCGGCAACAGCATTATTCTCCATTTCGAGCAAGGGCTTCACATTTTCGATTCATCATTGGGGGAATTCGGTGCACTCTTTTTCCCTCATTAGGATTTTTTCCCACAGGGTTTTTCCTAATGAGGTTTTTAACGAGGCATCCCCCCAAAATGAAACGAAAAGCGTCAGCCTTCGGCCCAAAACAGCAGCGCAACTACTCTACTCCTTTTCACCACTTTGCAAGTGCCTCAAGGAGTGGGGGACTGGAGGCCCCCTCGGGAAAAATCACAAAAACCACAAACATGACCCCTCAAGTCCCGACATGTGGGTAACTGAGGGACTGCCCTCGGCAGAATAAACAAACAGCAAACTACCCACAACTCTACAAACTTCAACGGAACAACGGCAGAGGACAAACACAATTACTCCTTTTCCCTCAAGTACCTTTCGGCAAAAGGAGTGAGGGACTCCTGATGGAGTATATGGCCCGGGAACCCCCGACCCACAGACTCCTACTACTCTAATGAAGGCCCAATAGGCCCAGGAAGCACAACAGGCCCAAATCACGGCGCCCAAGGCACCAAGCAGCCCACCACGCGCACCAGGGGTGCCTTCGCCCCCCTTGCTGAAGGCTCTAATTCTCACAGGAGGGCCAAGACAGGAAAACAAAGTTACTGGAAAAAAACGGCGAAAATCAGTAGCCCTCGGCAACTGGAGCCCTCGGCACTAAGGGGGTCCCCGGTACTCAGAGCCCTCGGCTAGTCATCTACAGCCGAGGGCACCTTTCTCGACATAATATCCGCTCCACATGCGTATGGATCACAGTACCCTGTACAACGTCCCATCCAACAGCCGCATTAAATGCGGCCACATGCAGTTGCCAGTGCCAACCGGTTGAGGTGACCTCTCGGCCAATGGACGCTTGACACGTGTCCCTGTCCGGCATTTATTGCTACTATAAATAGCACCCCATTTCCCCATTTGTAACCACGCTGAAAACACTGAACACTTTCTAATATACTTTCTCTCTCTATACTTACTTGCTCTGACTTCTCCCTAGTTATTCCCCGTAATAACCCCTCGGATAAGCTACCCCCGAGTACACTATCCATCAATAATATGTTTGATACTTAGCCACACGTGGCAAACACGGGCACGCAGGCCCCCAACTGTTTTAATGAAAACATTGTTCAAAAATCCATGAGCAGTTTATAGGTTTCAAAAATACGAATGGAAGCACGAACCAAGTCTTCCTCCTCGAATGTTCACCCTAGGCAAAGGTGCGGGTAGTAGGACTCTAGCCTCAACCTGAAAAATGTGAGGGCCCCCGGAGGGGTCAGTACTCCATAGAAGTACTAATCACAAGCAGGCTATATGAAGAATAACTAATGTTTCAGACACGAGACCCAAAAATAGGGTGATACATATATATAGATGTCCCTCATCCACCCGATGATACATACTGTATATATACTCGTAAAATACTCAACCCGTAGGTCATTTACCTTAAAGAGTCTTTTAGAGACAAAGTTCTTACCTGACTTTTCTCACTCCTTTCCCGGTTGCCTAGCTCACAAGCTATAGTCTACCTTCGATTCATAGTACCGAGTGTTTTAGGATCATTTACCGTCCAAGGCACTCAACCCAACCTGGAGTATTTAAGATCATTTACCGTCCAAGGGTACTCGGTCCCACCTGGAGTATTCTGGATCATTTACCGTCCAAGGGTACTCGACCCCACCTGGAGTATTCTGGATCATTTACCGTCCAAGGGTACTCAACCCCACCTGGAGTATTCTGGATCATTTACCGTCCAAGGGTACTCGACCCCACCTGGAGTATTCTGGATCATTTACCGTCCAAGGGTACTCGACCCCACCTGGAGTATTCTGGATCATTTACCGTCCAAGGGTACTCGACCCCACCTGGAGTATTCTGGATCATTTACCGTCTGAGGGCACTCAATCCCCAGTCTATTCTCTACCAAATCTTAACCTGGATATGGCTAACCTTTCATTCCTTTAACTATGGACAATGCCTAGCCCTATAGTCATATAACAATCCTTAGGATCCAACGTGGGCGGGTCCCACCTGAACGGCCCACGTTAACCTACTCAAAACTGCCCGTTTTGAGTATAAACCAATACTCGATCGAGTATCTACCCATACTCGGTCGAGTAAAGGAGGCGGTAGCCCCCAAAGCTAATTTTCAATGTATACTCGATCGAGTATCTACCCATACTCGATCGAGTATACTTCTTGATGTCCTTGATCCAAAAATACCCATTTGGATCCCTGGATCATCACACAAAATATGTTATCACATTTTTAATCACCAAACCTACATAACATGCTTTTCAACTATGTTTTATGTATAATCATGGTATAGGCAAATACTTGATTATTCTTAATCATTCCATAAGACATATTTTTGATTACTTTAGGTAATCTCATGCCTCACGCAAAAGTTATAAAGCATAAAGCCGTCTTCTTACCTTAATGAGGCTTATGAAGTTCTAGCCTTCCCGATTTAGCTCCGGCGAAACTCCGGCGAACTTCAACGAACTCCGGCGACAACTCCGGCGACCCTTTCAACTCCGTGAAAGTTCCTTGAATACCTTAGACAAGTTACTAACAAGGTTTTATCATCATAAACCCCATAGTAAT